CTCTCGCTCTCTCTCTCGCTCTCTCTCGCTCTCTCTCGCTCTCTCTGTGTGTGTGTGTGTGTGTGTGTGTGTATGTGTGTGTCTCGGGGCTGGAAGGAGGACCCAGGCATCTCATCCTCCCTGTCTGTTGGAACTGAGGCTGGAAGGCTGTACCCTCCGTGGGAGAGAAGGGGTTCCAGCACCCTTCAGTAGGGGGTGCTGTTCAGCAGGGGTAACGGGCACTAGTACTGTGAAGAATTAGCCAATCAGAAAGCAGGTCCCAGCCGACTCACCAATGAGGTGCATAGAGTGGAGCCCAGTGGCGCCTGGAGGGAGGGGCCTGTTTAGGTGTAGGGGGTGTGGCAGAAAGAACATCCAATCAGAAAGCTGGTGCCTGGCATGCAGCCAATTGAGCAATTTGGGATGAAGCCAAATTTGGCTCCAGCAAAGAGCCAATTTGGATTGCATTAGAAAAGACTGAGAGAATAAAAGAATCAGGTAGCTGAGTTTATAAGTGACTACCAGGATGAGCCATGTGGGATATTGTGATTGTACATATTACTTGCTGCTCTTCCACATCTCTGGCCTTGTGTTTCCTTCTGATTCTTGACCTCTGCTCTTAATGCTGGCTTCTGTCCTCCTGAAATACTGCCCACTTAGAACACTTATTCTCTGATCTCTTAAGGCCCCGTCTCTGGCCTAACCTTCACCTCTCAACCTCTCACCCTGATGGCCTCTTCCTGCAGATGCCCTACTCTCTGACCTGGAGACAACCACCTCACACATGCCAAGGTCAGGGGCTCTAAAAGAGCGGCCCCCAGAACCCCTGACGTCTCCTCTGCCACAGGTGAGATCAGATGCCGGGGACTGGGGCAACTACTAGGGCCAGGTTTGCCCCGGGGGAGGAGAATCTGGGCCTGAGTGGGGCAAAGTACAGGCCTGTCATCCCATACATATGTCCTTCTCTATAGATGGGGTCTGGGGAGTCTTCAGGAGCCTCTGGGGACAAGGACCATCTATACAGGTGAGGGGGCTGGGGACTGGGGGGTGGGGGAGCCAACTGAGACTCACATGAGGAGGCTTGAATTCCCCACCCCTGAACCCAGGTTCCCACCCTGTTTCCCAGCACGGTATGCAAGCCTCGGTCCCCGAAGCCTGCAGCCCCTGTGGCCCCTCCATTCTCCTCTTCCTGTGGTGTCTTGGGCACGGGGCTCTGTGAGCTAGACCGGTTACTTCAGGAACTTAATGCTACTCAGTTCAACATCACAGGTACCAGGGTTACTGGGACAGGCCTTGACAGGATGGGGGCAGAGCAGGGTGGAGACTAAAGGTATAGATTGATTTCCCAGACTAGCAGCTAAAGGGACACAAGCCTTAACTGGGAGGGAGGCTAGAGTGTGGCCCCATGTCCAGTGCACTTCTCTCCTCTCTGCAGATGAAATAATGTCTCAGTTCCCATCTAGCAAGGACACTGCAGGGGAGCAGAAGGAGGACAAATCTGAGGACAAGAAAAGGCCCAGCCCGTGAGTGTGGCATAGTTGGCAGGGTGGGGAGAGTGGTGATCAGTCCTGGATACCTGAGTTACTGGAGGAAGAGTTACTCTGAGGCTCTGACTGACATAAATTATGTCCTTCACAGGCCTCCCAGCCCATCCCCTGTTCTTCCAAAGCCTTCAGCCACCTCGGCCACCCTGGAGCTAGACAGACTGATGGCTTCACTCTCTGATTTCCGTGTCCAGAACCATGTGAGTCAGGCAGGGGGAGGGGGTGGGCCAGTGCGGGTTTGTGGCTCCCAACACATTTTAGACCCTTCCACTTCTGCTGCCTTGCTGACTCAACTGTCCTGTCCTCCCTGCTACAGCTTCCAGCCCCTGGCCCAAACCAGCCACCAGTGCTAAGCTCTGTGAATGAGGACTCTCCCACCCCACCAGGGCCAACAAACAAGGGCAGCCTGGACACCATGCTGGGGCTGCTTCAGTCTGACCTCAGCCGCCGCGGTGTTCCCACCCAGGCCAAGGGCCTCTGTGGCTCCTGCAATAAACCCATTGCTGGGCAAGTAAGTGGAGCCCTGTGAGGAGGTGGGTAGAGACCCACAGACCCATCTTTTTACTGAGAGCCAGCCTTTGTGCTGCTCCCTTTTAATAAATAACTCTGGGAAGTGGGTATTACTCTTATTCTACAGATGAGGAAACTGAAGCTCTGAGTCACACAGCAAGTAAGTGGCAGGGGGAGAATTCCAACCCGGTTACCATTTATTCTGGTCATACTCTGTGCCAGGCACTATGCTAGCTCCTTTACAAACCCCCATCTCATTTAATCTTCACAAAAGCCTTGTTGGCACCACTCACCATCTCTCAGGCACCCACAAAGACTGTTTCTCCTCTATCAGAGTCTGGTT